TTTAGACACCTTATGTTGTACACGAAAGGTATTTACACAATCCATCCATCTAGGAAAGGTGCCAATCTCAATTGTAGAACTATTTGGACAGTGGGGTATCCGTGGAGGTTTTGCAGAAATGACTGGCTTGTTATGGGAAAGTCCCATCTTAATTACTGATCTAGTATAAGGTCTTAAGTCCCCATAAATAGAATTATTTGTCAGTCTAGGTCTACCAATCGCTGTCTTTTCTTCTAATGATACTTTCAGACAGCCAGCATGTTTATCGTGTGACCAACACAAGGTAATTGGGTACTGTAGCCAGAATAATTAAATCTAGTCACATGATTGGGAGTAATATGAGTATCTGTAAATCCTCCCATCATGAATGAGTCATTAGTAAATACTGGAATAGATTCTCCAGTCCACACAGCTGGGTGTACCTGGGGTGGATCTGGGAAATATGTCCAGTAAGTGTCTACTTGATCCCCCTTTACCTGACAGCCCAGCAGGGCAATTACTGTTGCTACCATCATCACTGGGGTCCTGTTCTCTCCTAGGTGTCGAAGTATTCGGGAAGCCTGGGTTGTTAGCTTCTTCACGTCTTCCCATGAAATCAGCTTTTCGGCTGGGTCAATCTGGTCTTTCTTCATCCTTTTCCGATATCTCATCCTTCTGGATAGGGGCTCCTATTTTGGGGAGTCATAAACCTATTCCCCCCTTTTAATTTTTGTAATTGAAGCTTAATAGATAAATGAGCTTGTTCCACAATGGCTTGGCCTTGAGGGTTATAAGGAATTTCTGTTTTATGATTAATTTTAAACTCTTGGCAAAATTGTTGAAAAGAAGAGCTTACATAAGCTGGAGCATTATCTGTTTTAATCTGCATAGGGCACCCTAAAACAGAAAAAGCTGCTAAGCAATGAGAAATTACATGTTGAGTATTTTCCTTAGTACGTGCTGTGGCAAAAATAAATCTAGAATAAGTGTCCACTATGACATGCACATAACATTGTTTACCAAATTGAGGAATATGAGTTACATCCATTTGCTGTATTTGATTTGGTTTTAATCCACGGGGATTTACCCCTGATGGCAGAGATGGAGTGTGAATAACACACTTAGGGCATTGACTTACAATCTGTCGAGCTTGTTCTCTAGTAATATTAAATTTTTTACGTAAGCTAGAAGCATTTTGATGATGCAAGGAATGGGAAGCTAGTGCACAGTCATATGAAGACATCTGTTGACAAAAAGTTACTAATTTATCAATCTTGTTATTACCTGAAACTAAGGGTCCTGGAAGATTAGTATGAGCCCGTATGTGCCCTATGAAACATGGGTACTTTGGCATTAGCACTGTCTTTTGTAAATTATGAAATAACTCAAATAACTCTTGTGATGAAGTATACCCAATAACTGAAGTTTCAATATTTTTAGTAACTCCGACTGCATATAAGCTGTCAGAATAAATATTAATAGGCTCATTTGAAAAGTAATTTAAGGCACAAATCAGAGCTTGAAGCTCTGCTCTTTGGGCAGAAGTATAAGAAGTTTGTATTACCTCTGTGTGAACACGACTATAAAAACCTGCTTTACCTGAGTTAGAACCATCCATGAACACTGATAAAGCTTCATCTATAGGATGTGCATGTACAATCTTTGGAAAAATAAGTGACGTTAATGATGCAAATTGTATAATCTTATCACGAGGATAATGGCTATCTATCTGGCCAGGAAAATCAGCAAAAGCTATCTGCCATGAGCTAGAAGTTTGAAAAAGCCAATTAGTCTGTTGAATAGAAAATGGAATAATTATGATATCAGGCTCAGATCCAATTAATTGTAAAATCTTAGTTCTACCTTTAATTACTAATTGAGCTATAGAATCATGAAAAGGAATTAATGTCTTTTGAGGAGAGTGGGATAAATAAATCCACTCAATAACTCCTAATCTTTGCCATATGGCTCCTGTTGGGGTATGCTCAGTTGGAAATATTAATAAGTACACTATTTCTTTAGGATCAACTCTAGTAAGCTGTGCATTTTTAATTGCATGTTCAACTCTCCTTAAAGCCATTCTAGCCTCTAAGGTTAGCTGACGTGGAGAGGTTGGAGAAGGATTTCCTTGTAATATCTGAAATAGAGGACTTAATTTAGAAGTAGTTAGTTTTAAGGATGGCTTCAGCCAATTAACATCTCTTAAAAGCCTTGAAAATTATTAGGGGTTTGTACGGAAACTGTTTTGCTCCAGTAAAATTAAAGATGGCGGCCCCCATGGTCGGCGCGATGACGTCACATTGCGCGACCACCTACTTCCTCATTCTCGCCCCGGGGGCGGGCCGACCGGAAGTTTGTGTTCAGCCAGGCGGAAATGATGACAAGAAGGCGGGCTCATCTGCGCCATCTTGATCTACCACATGGGGCTGATCCCTGTGATATCTATTATCGCCAGTAGATGGAGCCCTGAACTTAAAATTGCACATGCCACACTCCCGCGCAAAATGATTATTTCTCCCGCAAATGTAACATTTTCCGCGAGGTTTTCGTACTAAATCCTGTGGTTTCAAAGTTTCTTTTATTGCTGCAGCTAGGGCCACCGTTTGTAAATGAGTAGAGTCTATGTCAGAACATAGGCTAATAAACTCGGAAACTGTCCCTTTTTTACCGTGCTAAGAATATCCTGACCGTATTTATTTGCGTTTTCGAATGCCAATTGCCTAACAATGAACTCACTCGCTCCCGAGTCCCCGATTGACCTGTTTGCAGCCTGGTACAACCGGGCTACGAAATCTGAGTAAGGTTCACTCGCACCTTGCCTGATTTTGGTAAGAACTAAATTGGATTGGTCCTTGGGGACAATCTGCCTCCAGGCACGTTTTGCACAATCAGTTATTTGATTGTATACTACAAAATCATAATTTAACTGTCTTTCTAGGTCAGTAAATTCACCTGTCCCTAGAAACATTTCTACTGGCATTTCTATATCCTGTCTTTTGTTCTTTTCTGCCTGTTCAGTACAAAAATCAGTCCAATAAGTCCTCCAGAGTAAGAAATCACCCCCGCTCAGACAAGATCTGGCTAAAGAAATCCAATCGCTAGGAGGAAGGAGTTGTGAGCAAATATTTTCTATCAGGCTCTGTACAAAAGGCGAATTTTGACCATACGTCTCACATGCACTTTTTAGTTCCTTAATGGTTTTAAATGGGATTACAGCATGAACTCTAACCCTCTGATCTTGCTCATTAACTTGCTCAAAAACTGGAAAAAGGTGAAAACCGCTAGTATCCTCCCCATCTTCCTGTGCTTTCTTAATACCTCACTGGAACGGGGTAAGAAAAGTCATTGTTACTCCAGCGTACCTGTTAAATTTTGTCCTTTTAGCAGGTACCGGCCGAATTCCAATAGCCTGGGCAGGCGGTGTTAAACGCAGCCTGTTAAGATTTCTCTGTAAGTCCTGAATTTCAATGTCTGATTCTTCTCCCTCAGATTGCGAGTCATGGTCAGACTCTGCACTATCGCCATTTTGAATTTGGGTTTCTAAACCACGTGGCGGAGAAGAACTCTGAGCCCCTCTAGGAATCTCTTCCGGATTTTCCTCTGCAGGAAGATCCTCTACCTCTTCCAGAGGGCTTTCTAAGATCTCGGAGGTTTGTCCTCTATGATATCCGTCCCTAGAATATCCCTGCGGGCTAGTCTGGTCTTGTAAGTTTAAAGTCACATTCCTAATCTTCGGTTTGGCCCCTAGCATCTCTGTTTTTAAATGGCTTAAGGGAAAAGGAATTAACTTAGCCTCAGGCGGATTTTCCATTTGAATAGACTTAATAGCCCTTTGCAAGCCTTTTAACAGGTCTTCAGGGGGCCACGAACTTTGACCCATATACTCAAAAAGGCAAACTTCTAGAGCCGTCCAAGTTTTCTGAATACTTTCTATGCCTCCAGGTAGTTCATTAGAAAAATAAACCTTTTGTAACTTTCTTCCTAATTTCTCCCAAGTAAATAAATTTGGAGACTCTTGTTCACAAAACCAAGGACAATATTCACCTACAATCTTTAAGAATTGTAATAACTGAGCTTTCTTTATCTGTTTTCCTTTCTGATTAATTATACTGTCTAAAATAGTCAGATACATTTCCTTATCCGTAGAAGTTGAATTTCCCATTTTAATTAATTTAACGTCTCTTTCCTTCAATAGCTCCAGGTACTTTTGTGACTCTAAATTGTCACCACTTCCTTTATCTTTATCTTTATAGCCCGCTCCCACTCAATCTAACTAATCTAGAATGCCCCCCTCGTGGGCGCCAATTCCACCATGCGGCCTGCGCAATTGTTTCATTAATGAGGTTCTTGGCATAAAGTTAGCTAGAAGAGATCGAAATAAAACACACAGACTCAGTTACCTTATTTCTATTGCCAGGTCCGAGACGGCTCCCCTCTCTGGCTCCAACCTCTAACCGCCCAGCAGGGCAGCAAGGATTACTCAGGGCTAGCAGGAGAGAGAGAGAGTGGACACGCCAGGGAGTAGCCTTTTATTGGGGAACAAGAAATTCAGGGGATAATTCCATCCAATGAAGGTTGAGAGGGGAATGCACTCCAAGGTCAGGGTCAGTGATTGGGCCCCCGGGGTCAGTGGTTAGTCACACCCCCACACTGACGGGTTCTCTCATCAGGAGAGGGCCGGGAAAATTCCGACACAGCCAGAAGCCTCAGACCCAAACCGGGAGTCACCCAGTCACGCGTGAGGATGGCTTCCCACAAGAGGGGATGGACATACAAAGGATGCACTTGCTCATGTAGAATACCGTGGCCACCACTGACAATCACAACGTCCACTGACTTGAGGAAATTCTCATGTCTTATTAACATAAAAACAGCAAAATCTGTGGGTCCTTCACTCACATTGGTGAAATGATAAACCAAAAGCTCAACAGCAGATTCCTTCTGTCCTTTCTTGTCTTACGCGCATCTCTCTGTGCCTCACTTCCCTCTTCAGCTCCCAATGAGCATGTCTCTGATTGCAGGTAAGAACCCTACAGGTGGCTCCTCCAGCCCCTTCTCTGTCCAGGGAGGCAAGGCAATGGTGAAACGGGAGCAGCTAGAGGATGTGGCACGGGGCTGTTCCTATCAGATCAACAACTACTTGGATGACATGTACCAACCACTGTCTGCAGAAAAAATCATCAGTTATGCTGAGAAGCTGATTGGCAAGGAGATATGGTACAACGTTCTGGGCTGGAACTGTGAGCACTTTGTCACCCATCTGAGATATGGCAAGTCCCACAGTGAGCAGGTAAGACTCTGTGTGGGTGATCTGTCTATTTTGGAGGGGGCGGGTGCTTGGGTAGGGCTGAGTGGGCTTTGTAGCCAGAGGGGAGAATCACCATGAGTGATGTAAACATGTTCTTTTCGAGACCTGTGGGCTGGGAGTCAGGATGTCTGTTCTCAAACCCCAGATCTGCTGCTAATCCACAGGGGGTCTTTAGGGAGGTCACCTCCCCCTCTTGGCCTCAGTTTCCCATGTGCAGAGGAAAGGATGGATCAAGGACTTCAGAGGGCCTGGCCAGCTCTGGTGTGGGCTTCTTCACCTCTGAGAGACACCCCAGAAATAGCTCCTAAAGCCCTGTGAACCCATAGGAGAGTCTGGGGATACCCAGAAGCATGACATTTTTATTGAGCTCCCAAATAGCACTCAGGCAAGCGGCATTCAAGCCTCATGGATCTGCAGCAAGAGCTAGGGAACATTTTTACAATAAGATCTGTGTCCAGCTGCCATTCCTTACCCCTCCACAGCCCTTCAACTTTGTTGCCCTTAGACACATTGCTAAGGAGCGGCAGACTGGATTCAAACCCCAGCTGTTTGTAACTGGAGTGCTGCCTCTTATTGCCACATTATGGCACCTCCAGGACCCCAGGCCTGACTCATGGGGTGGATGGGAGGCCTTCATGTGACGGATATGAAGGCAGGAGGAGCAGATCTGGGAGGTAAACCAAGAGTTTTATGTGGTGACAGGATGCTTGAAGTGTCCCATGGACATCCAGGTGGAGCTGTGGAGAGGAGTCAGAGGTTAGGACTGAGGTGAGCCGAGGCAGAAGTTTCCCGGCTGCACTTGTGAACAGTGCACCGCTGGTGTCTGAGGTTTCCTCTGTCTCTCTTCAGCTCCTACCTTGGTCCTCTCTCTGCAGGGGTAAAGCTCAGGTAGAGCCCAGACTAGAAAACTGGCTCCAGTCTGACCCCAGATCTCTGACCCCAGGAAGCCAGACACAAATGCTCTTGCTGTCTGCCTCAAATCAGGAACAAATGTCCTGATCCAGGAAACTGACTCACCAGGGTTCCATAGGCCCATTATCAGGATGAACCCAGATAGGCCCAACACGAAGAAGTAGCCATAATTCAGGAAATGGAGACCTCAGGACTGAGTGATCTGGGCTGACCAGGGGAAGGGAGAGAAGAAGATGAGGTGGGTCCCCCTCCCCTGGGAGACAGGACAGTGAGTAGGGCCTCAGGAAGACAGGACAATGACTGGGACCTCCAGGTCTTTGGGGAGGGTAAAGGAGGATGCTACAAGAGCTGTTTGCTTTGCAGGTGGAACTTCTCATAATGGGGACAGAATAGCCCTCTGTTATTCAGGATCCTGAGCACAGCTGAAGAGGAATTTTTTTTTTTTTTCCTTGAGGAGCAGACACCAAGAAACAGTGAAAACTTGAAGCAGCCACAGAAATCTTGTGCCAGAAGTGACTGTGGAGACTCCAGTCGAGACGGACCTCACCACCCACCAGCTCCTCTGATCTCCTGATCCCCGCTGTCTGCATGGCAGCCCTTAGCCCCTCCCCTTTCTCGCTAGCCCTCCCTCATGGCTAAAGGAGAATCAATAAATGTGTTTATCCTTCTGTGCTGTGTGATGTCTGAAAACCAGAAAGGAGGAAAGTAACTGACTGAGCACCTGTTGGGTGGTTCCAGCAACTTCCAGCTTTGTAACCTTGGGGAAAGTGCTCGACCTCGGGGCTGACTTCCTTCCTCTGTAATATGGGACAATGAGCTGCTTGGGGAGCATCCTACTCAACAGCTGGGTAGTATGGTTTGAAGGGTTTTAGCAAAGGCGAGGGAGGCACAGTGGCCTGTGCCCATCCTGAAGGAGGGATGGTCAGAGTGGAAGCAAGAGATCAGAGGTGGGGGGTCCCCTCAGCGTTTCCTCTTACCCTCAGGGCAGATGTTGGCACCCACAGGTTGCCCCCTTTATACATTCCCTTTTAGTTTTTCTCTCTGGGCAGGACCAGTCAGGCTCTTTCCTTGAGACTTTTCTAGAAGATAGCATGCTCAGTCTCTGTGCACATTTCCCAAGTGCCTGAAAAATAAAAATAAAAAGGATTGAGGCTAATTGCCCCCTGAAATCTCCTCAGGAGGGGCACTGTGCTGAATAGGGTGGTTACTGTATTTACCTCTGATCACCAGATATTTTTCTAGTGAGCACACTGAATATTGGGGATGAGTTTTTCTTGGAAATATTAAGGACTTGATAACCAGCATAATCAGAGACTAGAAATGACCACTCAGTGATGGTTTTAGTGTTAGTATTGGGACGTGCTTTGGCTAAAATTGTCGGGGTTTTTAGCCCCCGATCCCTCCTGACCTGCAGGAGAGATTGGGGGAGCACGCCCCGACCAGGACGGGCCAAGAAAGGTAAAGGTCGACTGGCCGCCATACCCAGCCCTCCTTCGCCAGAGGACAATCAGATGCGCCAGGGAGAACAGTCAAAGCATGATCTCATTTATTGAGAAAACACACACAGCTAATATAATGTACAGGAGCCAATCAGGGTAAAGGTCAGCAGGGTGGGGAGAATTTACTTCTACACCCATCCTACAGGCAGTAATGGGAGACATGAGGGCAGAAGAGGTGGTCCGATTCTTCATCACAGCCCACGGCAATGCCTTCTGGCTAATCACCAGGCGTTATCTTAGCCACCTGTGGCCCCAGGACTGGGAAGCGGGTAGCAGCCAGCAAGTTAGGTTTCCTCTTTTCTGATGCAACATGTCCCACGTTACATCATGCCCTACATAAAATATTTTAGAGACCTGTGTCATCATTATTGCTGTGACAAATACCTGAAGAAAATAATTTAGGTAGGGAAGATTTATTTTGGCTCCTGGTTTCAGATGTCCAGTCCTTGGCCAGTTTACCCCGTTGCTTTTGACCTGAAGTGAGGCAGAACATCGTGGTAGAGTAAATCTGTCAGCTGAGGGCCATGAGAAGAGAGAGAGAGATGAGTGCACACAGAGGGACAAGAAAACCCTAAATAGCCTTCCAGGTTATGCCCCACATTAGATCCCACATTCTACTATTTCCACCACCTTCCCGAAGTCCATTCAACTATCAATGGAGTAAAATTCATTGATGAAGTCAAAGGCCTCATGATCCAATCACTTCCCAAAAGTTCCACCTCTAAATATTGATGCATTGGGAACCAAGCCTTTAACCCATGAATCTTTTGGTGACACTTCATATCCAAATTAGAAGGTTCTTCCCCTGTCCCTGAAAGGCTCATATTCATCTAACAATGCATAATGCATCCATTTCATTTCCAAGTGTCACCGAATACTCAACAGTATATACTCCAGCACTATTCAAAAGTCCAAGTCCAAAGTCTCCTCTGAGACCAAAGGCAACTCATAACTGTGATCCCCTATAAAATCAAAAAGAAAGTTATATACTTCCAACATAGAATGGCACTGTTAGACCAGGACGCAAGAAAAGACCACTGACTCCAATTAAAATCAAATTAAAGCAAGCTTATTATTTCGGCCGGCTGAGCTGCCTCTCCCACCCAAAACCGCGGGAATAAGACAGCAGCAGCATCTTTCCTGCAGCCCAGCTTTATAGCCCAGAAAGTTACACAAGGGAGTTACAGATAACAGAACTCTGATGAGCATAACACTAATGGTAGTTTACATTTTTGCTGGCCCGGACATCAGAATTTATGAAGGTCATTAGAGCCTCAGAAAGGGTTGTTATCTGGCCAGGGAAGGCCAAGATTTGTGAGAAGTCACTAAAGTTTCAGAGAGGGCTGCTATCTGGTCAGAGAGCCAGGCATGGGTGAGTTCAAGGCAGGGGCAGGCATTCCAAGCAGGTTCAGAATTTGCAGTAATTTTTAGTAAAGCCAAAATTATCTTTTCATGGCTTTGTGGCGAGATGGCTCCCAATTTTAAGAAAAGATCAGGTTGGGTCTATCAGCACTCTGTGTAAGAATAGGGCTCTAAAAATAAGAGATGTTACCAAAGAAAGATTGAAACTCTGTAGGGCAAACATTAAATCCTATAGCTCCATGACCAGCATTGGTGAGATGTGAATTCCAAGAGACTTGGCTTCTACTGCAGCCAACATGGCCTCTCTCTTGGACTGACTCTGCCCACTGCCTGCAGATGTTCCACATTTCTGGCATATACAGCTTCCTGTGGTCTCTGTTGCAGCATCAACTTCACTTCCACAGCTTCACATATCCCCCTTTCCACTGCCAAACCTCCCAAACTTTCCTTTCAAATCTGGGTGGAAGCCTCCATTACCCTATAATTCTTCATGCCTGCAAAATGGGTGCCACATTGAAGGTGCCAACACTTGCCACCAGCAGGAGCAGTAGCTGGGGCCCTTAGACCATGGCTGCAGAAACCTCTGAATTCCTGGATGGCTGATCATGGTGAAATGAATCCCGGGAAAACAACTTCCAAGGTAGCCCTGTGGGAGCAGTGCACCATGAACTCTCTTCCTAAAGCAAAGTCTTTCAAATGAGTTTGTGCTTTTACACCTTTGAGCTGGATGGGTAGGCTCTTCAGGATTCCTGAGATGCCCTCAAGGCATCTTTCCTATTATCTGGGTGCAATAGTGTTAATCTCTTGGGTAATCAGACCTTCCTTGGCCATGATTTTTTACATGCACTTTTCTGGCCAAACTGCAAATATCTCGAACATTTCAGATTTTAGCCACCAGGTATACCCATGTCACAGTCTGAAGGCTGTACTGCCTTGAAATTTCCCCTGTACTGCCTTGAAATTAGTCCATCAATTTTAAATGAAGTCTCAGTAAAAGTCTCAAATTTTGTGCCAGAATGTAACTCATGGGACCTTGAGTCGAATTTCCAGTAGAGTCTTCATTCCCACCTGAAACCTGAGGAGCACAGTCTTATTATTTACATTCCTGTTGGCATTCAGGTCTTTTGAGATCACACCAGAATAGCCCATTAAGCTCGGCTTACAACAATCTAAGGTCTTTAGCCTGCATCTTCAAACTTTTCCAAAGGTCTGCAAAGTAGTTCCAGAGGTTCTGAACCACATGGCCATGGCATAATCACAGCTACAGCCCCACTCCCAGTGCCGGTTTTATGGATTCGTCAGCTTTTCATTTTGGTGACAAATAACTGAGAAGAACAACTGGAAGAAGGATACATTTTGGATCATGGTGTCAGAGGTTTTAGTCCAGGACCAGCCGATTTCATTGCTTTGGGCCTAAGCTGAGCCACAGAATCATAGCAGAAGCCATGGTGGAGGGAAGCTGCTCAGCGCGTGGCAGCCAGGATGGAGAAAGAGAGAGAACAAACTGGAAGGGGCTGAGGACAAGAAATACCCTTCTAGGGCATGCTTCCCATGCCTGCTTCCCTAAATTAGATGCCACCTCCTGCTGCTTCCACGGCTTCCCAGTAGTCCATTCAGCTATCAATGGATTAATCCACTGATGAGGACAGAGTCCTCATGATCCAGGCACTTCCCAAAAGCTCCACCTCTGAACACTGCCACATTAAGGGCCAAGCCTTCAACCCATGAGGCTCAGGGGTCACTCCATGTCTAAACCATAATACCTCCCCACCCCTGCAGAAACAGAATGGGAGAGAGGGGCCTGAGCCTGTGTCTTAAGGAATGGCACCTGAGTGCACCTGTTGTGGTCAGCCTCTGGGTTGAATTTCAAGTTGCCCAATGCTGACATATGAGCAAGGAAAGCCTGCCTGGAGTGGAGCTTTCATGCAAGGCATGGACACAGCGCCCAAAAGGCAAGAGGACATATCTTCATTTGGCTTCCAGCACAGGGTGGACAAATAGCCCAGTGCCTCCTTAATGATCACCTGTTTAATAAATCCCTATGTGTTCCGTGAAAATTGATCTGAAATGTGCTTTCACTATTAACCAAGGGTGAGGTTTAGGGCCCTAGCTAACATGAACTCATTCAGATTCTACAGTGGGTTGGGTATCATTATTTGCCAAATATTTCTATGTGTGAGCCACGATGACTCAGCTTGATTTATCTCAGTGGGTGGCAACAGACTCAGGCTACCAGAACTTTAAAGTATTTCTAAATCTTAAGGTAAAGACAACTTAACACAGAAAAGTTGTCCTTTAGAGGACAAATCTCAATACATTTGGCAAACATGTTTATAAAACCCACTCCTCTTACCTGCCTTAAAAAAAATAATCTTTACTTGTTAGCAAACTGCCAGAGGAGTTGCCCACATGGAGACTAGTGCATCTTTAGATTAAGAGAGTGATTGTAGGAGAGTGAACAGGATCTATACCTAATGAGAAAGACAAACCATAACACCTTCCAACACTAGTGCATGCAGTTAATGCTTGCATTTCATAGAAATGGATCGGCAGGAAGAGAACAAAGTGCAGAAGAGGTACACAGAAGTAAACAGGCACCAAGCTCAGTGACACACACCTGTAATCCCAGTGCCTCAGGAGGCTGATGCAGAAGGATCCTAAGTTCAAAGCCAGCCTGAACAACTTAGCGAAGCCCTAAGTAACTTAGTGAGAACCCTGTGGCTCAGGGATTAAGTGCCCCTGTATTCTATCCCTGGTACCAAAAATAAAAAGTCAAACAGCCAGTGAAGGAATCTGGGACAGAGGTTTTAGAGGAGAAGGTATATGAAGGGAAGATAGCAATTAAGTGACATTTGATGGTTGGCAGTGAGAATCTATCTTTCCGTTTACTTTGCAAATTACAGCAATGCTTTATGTTAAACTGGACAAATCTACTAGTGTGCCTCTTTAATTTTAAGTCACTCATACCAAGAGGTGGTGGGGGAGGGAAACCAAATAAAGCAGCATTCAGGAAGACGACAGACAAGGAAAAAGTGGCCAAGGAGAAGAACTGGTGGCAGGTAAAGTTTTCAATATCAAGGCCACGGAAGATAGGACTCAGCAAACCAAAGTCACCATTTCCGCATTACCCTTTGTCTTCTATTAACTACTGTGAAAATTACAGTCAAACCAACCTCACACATTTTTATGGTTTATGTTTGGATGACGTCTCCTGCAAGTGCTTCCACCAGAACAAAAACGGAAAACCCAAAGAGTTCCTTTCCACATAAGGCACAGGACAAAACTGGCCCCATTTACCTCGTCAAGGCAAAAATGAGTGTTTTCCTGGCTTTGGGCTCTTGCTATCACACATCCATAGATTATAGGGACTCAAGCACATTATCCCTGGGCTAGGCAGAAACTTGGGTTCCTTCAAGGTCAGGTTCCTGTGTAGCAGGGTTGAGAAACTACAGACCCAAGCCAGGCCATTTCAAGGTCAAACTGACTCCCATGTAAGCAGAAAAACTGATAATGACACATCCATTCCCTGGTACCTAAACTCCCAACAAAAGGGGGGCGGGGGCATGGTAACTTGATTGGACTAAAAAGTGCATGAAGATCTCACAAACTCTGAGCACCTTACCTAGGATTGGGTATGGAACTAGCTTTCTTAACCCTGAAGATTCATATAAACCCCTAGACAACAGCCATCTCCAGTACCCTCTCTTGGGACCCCTCATCCTTTGAGAGCTCCTCTTTCTTTCTATTACTCAAATAAATCCTGTTGCTTTGCACTCACCTTGTGTCCAAAGAATCCAACCCCATGTTCCTTGCTACATAGGTTTTTTTTTTCAATTTTTTTAGTTACATATAACAATAGACTATACTATGACACAATTATAAAAGCAGGGAATGTAACTTGTTCTAATTTAGTCCCCAGTATTTCCCCTTCCCTTCCTTTCCTCCCACCCCGTTCCCTTCCCTCTACTCTACTGATCTTTTTTTTAATAATGTTGGCTTTTTTATACCTTTATTTTAGTATTTATTTATATGCGGTGCTGAGGATCAAACCCAATGCCTCACACATGCTAGGCAAGCGCTCTACCACCGAGCTACAGCCCCAGCCCTAGTTTTTGTTTGTTTTTTTAATTAGTGTGTCTTGTGGATGTACATGATGGTGAGATTCACTGTGGTATATTCATATATGTACATAAGAAAGTTAGGTCAGATTCATTCCACTGTCTTTCCCTACTCTTTCCTTTCTTTCATTCCCCTTTGTCTTCTCCTCTGGTCTTTCTTCTATTCTTTTTTTTTAACCTGTCCCCCTACATTTTGGATTAGCTTCCACATATCAGAGAAAACATTTGACCTTTGACTTTGGTGGACTGGCTTATTTCACTTAGCATGATAGTCTCCAGTTCCGTCCATTTACCTACACAGGTTTGGATGTTGGTAAGAACTGGACAATGATACAGCTGAAATGCAGTGGTGGGCTGAGCAAGGACATTTAAAAATGAAGTCACACACATGACTTTTCTATTCATTTTTTGAAGAAAATTATACTAAAGTCAGCAAGCAGTCACACATGGAAGAACAAATAAAATAGGTAGATTGAATAGTTATGCTGGGAACAAAAATGTCTGTTTAACAGAGTTTAAAATGGACAGAGTGGTTAATTTTGTAGCAAGAAAAGAAAGGGGTGGCAAGTGGCAACAGGGGGAGCAGGAGAAGACTGCAACCTTTGCTCTTGCACCTGTCACACCTCCTCTGCTGAGAATCTACATTTTCACTATTGTGCTCTTTTACCGCGGCCTTTAGACAGATCTCTTCAGCTAAGGTAAGGAACGCTTTTCAATATTTATATTTGCGTTTCTAATAGTCTCTCAAAAAAAATCTAATACCAGGCTCCTTTGCCATCTGTACTCCTTTAAGTACTACTCTTTTATCTTTCTCAGCACCCTTTATTAGAAATACCCAGGAGCAAGGAATCAAACGAGTGCGCTGGGAAGTAGCGCCTCAAGGCCAACTATTACTTCCGCAGAACCATGCGCTTCCGAACCTGACCGGCCAGGGAGCACACTGCGCAGGCAGTGCGCGGGTTTTTAATCCCTAACGCATGGTTTTTAATCCCTAACGCAGCAAGCACCGCCCCCTTGATCTGATAGGAGGAGCCCCGGGTTACAGACTAGGTGACTGTCTAATTTTAAAAATGGGGCGGGCAAAGGGAAGGACAATAGTTAAAATGACTATCATTGGATCTGACATCCCAATTAAGGCTAAATACTATATTCTGAAAAGGGACATCAGACTCTATTTCTCACAATTTGTTTCCTAGCAACATTCTGCCCGCGTGTTCACTGGCCTGCCATCTGTGTTTCCAAGCCACCTCCTGATGTTTGCAAAACTTCTCCCATTGGCGATGTCACATACTCCTCCTGACCTGCTGCATCCCCTCTGCTGCTTGACCTTCTTACCTTGTGATTCAACGGGTTTGATCTTAAAGTCTAGGCCATAAAGGTTTGGTAAGAAGTCATCACAGAAAAAGGAAAAAAGGACACGGGGCTTCCCCACTCCGGAGTCCCCGACTGCAGGCAGCTAGAAAAGCAGGAGGTAGGTCTTTGCCCTTGGGAGGAGCAGCGCAGGCTCTCTCCAAATGGTCCCTAGAGATGAGTCCTTCTCTCCAAGGCCAACTCCTCCCATGGGCGCTCCTGGGCCAGAGGACTCGGGAAGCATGCAGAAAAGGGGGGCTTGTGAGGACACGGGTGACCTAAACGCCAGGAAGGTAGCGGCGTCCCAGAGCAGCGACCGCGGCTCCACAGCCTCTTCCAGCCGCTTCACTGGGAGCTGTGGAGTCGGAGGGGAGGAAATAGCCCCCAGTCCCCACACTCAGCTTCTCAGCCCAACTCTCCGACGGGCCAGCAAGCCGGCTCTGCAGTGGAGGGAGCGCGGGGGGCTGGAGCACAGCCTCTCCCAGCAGCCACTCCACCTGAGGACGCCCCAGGACAGCGCAGGAAGAGCCACCCTAGCTGAGCACCCAGCTACACAGCCACCAGCCGCCTTTCCCGGTAACTTCTCACGCCTGCCGCCTGCCGGCAGGACCAGTGCCCGCCAGCCCTGGTCCCACCTTGTCATATGTCCTCAGCGGAACTGTATTAGAACATGGACTTGGAAGGAACAGACTAAATTGAAGCCACAGCACCTGAGAAATCCAAGATCAAGGTGCTGCAGACATGGTGTCTAGACACCTTCTTCCTGGCAGGCAATTGGTCCCTTCTCACTAGGGCCCACACATGGCAGAGGGAGGGAAAGAGAGCTCTGGTCTTGTAATGCCAGATTTGTGGGATCCCAATAGACCTCCAGGAGCCAAATCCGATGCAATCACACAAGGGTCTTTATTGCAAGCTCGAGCCTTAACTCACAACCGTTCCCAATGCAACAGCGGTCCCAGGGAGTGAGTCCTGACCCTTTGTTCAGTGAGATTTATAGGTTTTGGGGGGTACTCTATGCGTCACAACATCACACAGCAAATCATTCCATACCACGGGAAAGTCAAACAACAACTCTTAACATTGATTAGCACATTCACTGGCGGGAACTAGTTGGTTAGGGGTGATTGGTTAGTACAAGAGGGGGGTTCCTTTGAACTGATTGGTTTAAGCCATGAGGGGTATACATGCTAAACTACATGGTTTCCCAACATGTTATCTACCACCATAAACTACTGGGGGGTCATCTGGCATCCCCGGTATTTTCGCTGTCTCATACTGATTGGAGGTTTCTAGGGGGGTTGCTATGGGTCCTCATCTAGCCTAACTTAAGTCAGGGACCCCTGATGCCTTAGATCTCTCCTGTTATTTACAAACAACTCAGCAAGGTGGGTATGTACCTAGAAAGGCTCTGTGGGATTTTCCAAGGACAAGGGTCACGCCCCCTTCCTTAGGACAGGCCTTGAGGTAGAAGCTGCTGTTATTTATTTATTTTCAAAAATAGAGTCATATCAGTTTCTCAGTCTCTCTTCATAGAAGGACACTAACCCTGCTAGAGGGGCCCTACCCTCACCACCTTCTCTAAACCTAGTGGCCCCTCCACCCCCTACCACATTGGGAGCTAGGGCATCAACATATGAATTTGGGGTGGGTGGGAACACACACATTGAGGCCATGACTTTGTGCAATCAGCTCTTTAATAGAATTGATGCCATGCAGCCAGCGTTTCCTTCAGATAACAGCTTCCTATGCTTTGATTGAGCTCCACTAAACCAAGTGCTCATGATTACAAAAGAGTGAAATCTGTAAACCAAATCATTCCCACTGGCTTGATCAAATTCCCCCAAGGTAACTGGTGCCGCCAAGATAAAGCCTTGCATTTACTGCTTTTCCCGCTTGCTTCTGGCGACCGCCATCCCAATGAGGCCCAAAACACCCAGGACAACAGATGCAATACCAATCACAGTGAGTGTGTCAGTCACCTGCAACAGAAGACAAGGGGGCAGGGTCACATCAGGAGTCTGAGCAGAGATCCTTGTCCAAGGAACCTCTTTCCTGGGCTGCAGATTCCTTGGACAAGGAACATGCTCCCTGTCCTTGTCACCACATCACAGAGGAAACAACTATTGGCAGGGAGGGGGGATCCCAAAAGGTCAGGCCACCCAGGAAAGAGGACAGGAGGTCCCTGTCAGGAAGGAATGAATGCAGGACTGAGTCTCAGTATGAAAAGGGAGTCTCAATGGAGGAAAGAGAGATTCAGCCTAGAGGTGTTTAAAGCATGATAAACCCATGGGGTGGCTGTGGGAAGGACAGAGGGGCAGGGCTCAGATGTTCTAGGTCAGGGGTGGCTGATAGGGAGCCTTGAAGCAGGTGCCAAGTTGAGAAATGACCCCTGTGAACTCCCACTGCCCAGGGCTTGAGGACAGGGACCCACCTAGGTGTTCTTGGTGTCCCTGGTGCTCAGCCCACTGCCTGGCACAGGTGGACCCTGGTGACTTAGCTGCTGAGCAAATGGTGGACTGGGAGCAGCGCTGAGGACAGGCTTTTGTGCAGTGAGAGGCCTTGCTTGTGTGTGAAAGGGAAGGGGTCCTGCTGAAGGACAGAGTGGGGACGTGAGGGGGACCTTGATGGTTGCTGCTTCAGCACAGGTGGCGTGAGCTGACTGACATGGCCAACCACCACCCCGGGGCCATTTTGCACACAGATGGAACTCAGGCAGAGGGGGCCACACCATAATAATGGCTGTTTCCAGTTCACTGTCCTGTGCTGGTCATTGTCCAACTGCTATAATTTTCTCACCTCCCTCAACAACCCCGTGAGGCTGGCATTCTAATCCCTACCTTCCAGCTGGTGACGACTGAGGTGGCCAGTGGAGAGACCTCACTCAAACCACACAGCTGGCAAGTGACCAGGCTCAGCTCTGCTTATGTCTTTCACAGCCAGGGAAGGAAACTAAAATCAGTGATGCGAGAAGAGATTTCTGGGGAATGCACCATGTGCCGGCGGGGGAAGAGAAAGGGCAACAGTGCACTATCTTATCTACAGACACTCGATCACCTCCAGATGCTAAAGAGAAATGAAGCTGGACCTCAGACAAAGCGGTGACCTCAGACTTCATTCAGTCACCACTGGCAGTGAGCAGGGCTCTGTTGTATATGGTGCAGAGGTGACAGGTGTTTCAAAGGGAGATGAAGATGAAGGAGCAGGGGTGGGCAAATGGGGGTCGCTAGAGTCAGGTGAAAAATGATGAAGGGAGGTCCCTGTAAATGCAGTGAGGCCGGCTGAGTGTGCTCCCTGCAACTAATGGGTTAGGATTGTACCGTCCTGTGGAGACGGCAGGAGGCCCTGGTTTTCTGATGAGTACATTCCAAAGGCATCCCTCTCAGACCGTGGAGAAAGACACTTCTGAATAATAAGGTCTCTATCTATGTTTATGTGATCTTCCTGTCTATCAATCTGAGTCTCACAGAGTCAGAGGAAGGATGCATAATTATAAACCCATTTTAGTAAATGCAGTAAGACAGAGAAGTCTTGGGTCTATCATCTGCTGTTGTTTGGGGAAAAAATAGCGCATTCCCTTGACAGGTGAACTTTCTCAAGCAGTCATATGAAGGGGGATTGGGAACTTTCTAGGGACAGAACTTCATGTTCCAGGGGCCATGTTATACTTTAGTGGTCTATCAGTACAAAATGTGGGCAGAGTCACTAGGGGCCCAGAGTTCTGCAGGGCTCACAGCACACTGTGTACAGAGAAGGAGAAAGTGAGTTGGAGACAGGCAGAGGAGGAGCTTCCTATGGAGAAAAGGCAGAAGGGAAGGAAGGAGTGAGAGGGAGAAGACAGGTGAGTCACTGAGGTACCTGCAGAAGAGGTTCCCAAAGAGGGACCCCAGGCCAGGGAGAAACTAAATGGAACATCCACCACTGAGTACCCCAGCCTTGCTTAAGTTGAACCCTCAGAAGCACAGCAGAGAGCCAACCACCCCTAAAACACCCAGAGGTAAAATTGATCCTTGGGGCTTTCCTGCAACTTTGGAAGTGGTTTTAGATACATGACAAAGCAACCCACCACACCATACCCTTGAGCAGCCACCCCTAGGCCAGACACACATCAACCCTCCCCAGCTAACAGGAGGGGGACCCATTCAGCAAGGTCACAGCAACAAAGCAGGTCTCGCCCCAGTGCTCAGAGCTGAGGAGCAGTTCTCAGTTACCAGCCTGGGCTCCAGCCTGGGGCCCTCTCTTCCAGAAGGGATGGATTTTCCCTGCCCACCTCCCTCCCTTCCTTACCACAGCCTTTCTCCTACCTTACCAAAGGAGAGCCAACCCCTGCCCTCCTGAATTGTGGGGCACAGGCCAAGGTTCAAACATCCCTGGACGCCAAGGGGGAAAATTCAAGAACACAGAGCTCCCCAACAAGAGGCCTCCAGAAGCAAAGCAGCCGTGTGGAGGGAGGCCCTCTGCCAGGTCCACCTCCCACTGAGATTAGAATTCTAAAGTGAGGTGGCATCATGGCCATGAGCATTAACACCTTCAATTCAACTGAAAAATTGTCAGCGTGTTTTTGTTTGTTTCTTTGTTTTTGTTTTTGGTACTAGGGATTGAATCCGGAGGCACTTAACCACTAAGCCACATCCCCAGCTCTTTTTTATATTTTATTTAGAGACAGCGTCTCACTAAGTGTCTCAGGTACTCACTAAGTTGCTGACTTTGAACTTGTAATCCTCCTGCCTCATCTTCCTGAGCTTCTGGGATTAAAGGTGCACACTAATGTGCCTGGCAAATTGTCAGTTTTTGACTAAAAAAGTGATCTGATTTGACTGACAGTTTTACCATAACACCTGGCTTGACTATTTAAAATACCTCAAAGACATTTTTCATTCATTAAATAAACTAATTTTGCAATACCAAGGTTTTCAAGAAAATCTGTACTGAAATCAGGGGTGCAAAATGCAAAAAAAAAAAAAATCCATCCTTCACAAATTTTTCATATTCATGATTTTTGAAATGTTTGATTTTCAACTAAAAATGTATAACATAATTTGTCTAAGTTTTTTTGTGTGTATGGTGCTGGGAATTGATCTCAGGGTCTCAGAAACTCTAGGCAAGTGCTCTACCATTGACTTACAGCCCGAGCACTTCAAGTCCTTTTAAACCAAGACTTGCTAAACCAAGCCTTGACCCACTGGTCAAATCTAGCCTGCCATATGTTTCTACAAAAATAAATAAATGAAAAGAAATCAAGATTTTTGGAACACAGCTTTGCCTGTTGGTTTACACAGAGTCAATGGCTGCTCCCAGGCTACAGAGTGACCCTGGCAGAGTAAGGAGAGGGACCATCTGGCCCAAGAAAGCTGAAGTGTTTCCTGTTGACCTTGTGCATAAAAAAAATGGACACAACATGACCAGAGTCCCCTTCTCCTGGACCCCACTGCTCACTCTGCCAGCTTCCCTGACCCCCACTCCCGGGCAATCTCCAACTCAGGTTGCACTGCCAGCCCTCAGGAGGTGCCCACCCCTTATTACTGGGGAATGATCTGATCACAGGGAAGGGGACACAGGCTGAGGACACACCTGGTCACTGCGGGAAACTCCATAGCGCAGCGCGTTCACAAAGTGCTCACAGTTGTCACTTGTCAATGAATAAGGGACTTCCTTCCCCACCATTTTCTCTGCCTCCTTGACAATTTTGTTGAGTGGCAGTGGGTCATACTTGTCATCGTGCTTGTTATTGATCCGGTACTTGTTCCCTCCGGCCACCACAGACAGCAGCTCCTTCTTCACTATGGCTCTTTCAGCCACGATGGACATGATGCTGCTCACACCAGCTCCTGCCACTTCACCTGTGGAAACAGTGGACTCAGGCCTGGGCAGGGCCACAGTAGCTCAGAGCTAGCCCCAAGCCAGAAAGCCTCAGTGCCAAATTGGGAGAGTAAGTGGTTTTCACAAAGTTTTGTCCTCCTCCCCTGGACAGCGTCTTCCCCCAGCCCCCAGCGCTCATTCCCAGCTGGAGCAGTGCTGTAAGCAGCCCTCCACCCAGGGGTGGCTCAGGGCGGCTGCAATGCTTTCACTGTCCGTCCCCTCTACCTGGGAAATCTTAATGTGCTGGGGCCTGACTCATTCTGGATTTGCTCTATCATTCATTCCTTTCATATGACTCACATGGGAGGTCCTGGAGTCCAGTGTTGAATGATTCAGAACTAAAATTAGAAAATGAAAATGATACCTTCAAATATGCTACTAAGAAACTCGCTGAAACCATCGTTGAAATCAATAGAATCTCTGTGAGTACATGGAGTGTTTCTGTAGTAGCATTATATGAGGCAGAGGGCCGGTGTGCACACGGTACAGACCAATATTCAGGACATGTCTGGAGAAGGAATTAATCATATTTTGTTGGGGTATAGAATTCGTGGAACATTTTTATAAAGATTATAAAAATGTATTATGCTTTTACCCTGGTTTAACTCACTGCTGTTCAAACTGACATTGTGCCAATGCCAAGATGCCAAGAATAATCACGATATTCCTAATACACTTGGTGGTGGGTAATGGGATCCACCTGTAAATACACTCTCTTTTGCTCTCTCCTTCTCTCTGTGTGTGTCTCTTTCATGTTGGATTATTCATTATTTGTGGTAATAAGATATACAAATATTTCCAATCCAAGGGATCTGGATGCTGCAGCCTGGGATATTTCTCACCCCCAATAACAACATACAAATTAGAAATGCCAAACAAATTCTCACCTTGAGATCATTGTGCATGAAATATTCCTCCATAAATGAATTTTTCAAGAACTTCCAAAGATGATTATGAAGAGAAACTCTGTATGTTGGTTTTATTTGTTTTGTTTTGTTTTGTTTTTTAGCAAACCCTGTTAGCACTCCCAGGACCAGTCTGGAACCCCAGCTCTTGTGCTCTAATGGGAGCATAAGACTCTAATGGGAGTCTCTAAATTAGAAAAATCCATGACCTATATTTCTACAAGGCCTAAAACAAGTTCTCATGATACATTAAATTCTCTTCAAGGAAAGCAGACTGACATAAGCAGTTTAGCTTCAATACTCCATAACGAAAGGGTCCTTGATCGACTAACTGCTCAATGGAAGGAACCAAAGCACTTATTGGGCAAAATGTTGCTTCTAAGATAATAAACCCAGGGTTATAGCCCAGAATCTTAAAGATCTAAAGGATGGATCCAGGTACCTCATGTGACCAAGGAGATGTGATCAGTGGACACACCTCCCAAATCAATTAGTTAACTCTGGGCTCCTGGACACCTGTTTTTGGAATGCCCTCCAGGCCCTTGGTATTATTCTTACCTAGTTGCAGTAACAACACTCCCTACATGTGGTGTATCCTCAAGAGACATGAACTTTGTCAGCAACCACATGCTCTTCGGATGACTTCTATGAGCACTAAGCCACCAAAACTGTATTCACAAAAACCATGTGAAGGATCTGCTGAGTCCTGGTTTACTATCTATGAGGTCCCCTGAAGGACAAGCATCAGAAGACAAAGAGTAATCTTGGGGATTAGTCCCATTGCTGGTCCAACTGAGAGACTGACCAACAGAGGGGATTGTTAAACAGAAATAGAAAGGAGGCAGCAGACGGAATGTAGACCAAAACTCCATAGTCAGGCACCGTATGGGGCACCTGCCTCTAATCCCAGACACTCAGGAGGCTGAGGCATGAGGATGCCATTCTAAGGCCAACCCAAGCAACACAGTGAGACCCTGACTCAAAATAAAATTTTAAAAGGGCTGGGGTATAGCTCATGGTTAGAGCACCCTGGGTTCAATCCCCAGGGCTTCATCCAAACAAACAAACCAACAAGAACAAAGGGCCCACCTCATGCAGCCCTAACTGGACACTGTCCTGATTTCCCCAGAGCCAGCTCTAGCCCAGACAGACCTCCCTCTCCTGCTGTGAGCAGGACCTTGCTGCTGTCCCAGGGGTTGGACACCAACCAGGGAGCACCCGCAGCAGCACAGCCTAAGGAGGCCAGGTTCCTAGTGGCCAGGCTCAGGGACAAATGCACTACCTCAATGACGCTTTAACAGCTGAGTGTGAGCACTGCTGTGAGCTGAGCTCTTTGTCATTTTCTGTTCAAAGTCTCTGAGTTTGTGAGCTGCCGTAGGTGCCACAGAAGGTCTCAATGTCTCTCACTCGACTGACTTCCTTATGTGCACACAGGTGCATGTCCACACCAGCTCTACTAGTGACTTGAAGGACTGGACAGTGTTCCACTGTGTGCAGGTCAGTGGGGTTTCTAGCATGTCCGCGTGTCCCTTAAAGCCATGATGCTGGGACAGAGAGGGAGGAGGCCCCACACCTGGCCAGGCCCTGCACAGGCTCTCCCTGCCCTCCTTCATTTCTCTCCCTCACGGCCTGGGAGACAGGAATCCCTATCCCTGCTCTTCTGAGGAGAAGCTAAGTTGAGTGACGATAAGCCGAATGCTCAAGTCACAAAGGAGGCCCAAGAGCCGGGATTCCAGACTGGCCCTGGGGAGGTTAGAGGCCCACACCTGTCCATTGCACTCTGCAGCCAGGTATAAACTCTTGGAAGCATTAATTTCTTCCGCTGTTGTTTGACCTTGCAGAACGCCACAGACACAGGGTATTGGACCTTTGGAGGGATGCTCATCAACCAAAGGTGACCAACTGAGACTGAAACGCACTCTAAAATGGAAACAGGTCAATGTTCTCTCGCTGCACTCACTGATAAGGAGAAATATCAGGAAACATAGGCCAGAGGGAATGAGCATGATTCACTTAGTAAATGCTGATTGAGCACCTGCTGTGCCAGGCAGAGTGAGGACCAGCACATAACTGTGCCTGTGTACATACTCTTGATCTCAGCCCTTGTGTTTTTAATAGAGAAACCTTACGTACTTGGTGGAGCCAGATGGACCACATAGCCATTTCCCACATAGATGGCCCAGTGCTCATAGCCAAAGCGAGAAATTTCAATTAGGTCTCCAAGTTTTGGTTGTGTTCTGTTCTGTAACAGAAAAACAAGACACAGATTGTGTGTGGGGGGGGTGGGGGGCTTTTATGGAATGTTGTAGAAGCTGACCTGCAGGAAGCCCCAGCTCTAGCCTACAGAATCCCTCTGCTCATCACTTGTAGGAATCAAAGAAGAGACACCTCTCCTTTCACTGGTGGGAAGCCTCCCCTCTCCGGTTACATTATGTTTGTGAGCCTAGAAAGGTGCTCCAGGACAAGGAGATGGGAAGGGTGACATTGAGGGAAGATGGCAGTCGGTCTGCCGCACAGGAGTGTGGGGCAGTGATGTGCACCTGCTGCAGAGAGCACATTTTATGCACAGAGCATGTTTGTAGCAGCAAATGCTGATATGATTCCCAAAGATGTCAAAATCACCTTGTTAAGGGCCACCAACCATGTGCCTGGGCCTCAGTGATCATTGTGAGTTACAGAGCACCCACGTACAGAGCCCAACCTGCCAAACACTGCAGAACACTTGACCCCCACTGTTCATCATCCTTCGAGCAATAACTACCACCACCCTCCTGGATAGATGAGGAGAATGGGTCTCAGCACAGTTAGGGAACTTTCCTAGAGAGCAGAAGAGCCAGATGGAAACCGAGATCTCAGGGTTTCCAACATTTTTGCCTGAACAATCCCAGAAGGTTTCAGACAAGCTGGGGAAGCTTAAATCTGGGCTCCAGGCCAAAATCAAGAAAAGAAAGGCAGGATGTGGTGGGAGTCAGAGGGGGAGGGGTTCTCTTCTGAAGTTCACATGAGCGAGTTGCATTTCTGGGACACTCTGAGGCAACCAGCACCCCTCCCCAGCCCAGCCTCTGGGCCCAGTGCGCCCTGCCAGGGAGCTGAGCTGCTGCACAGAGAAGTGAGGGTGCAGCTGCCTGGAGGAGGTGGGAGATCTCCTGGGAGTTCAAGTCCTTGGCAGCAAGGATCAGGAGTCAGCTTGACCCAAGGTGGGCCGATTGAAGCATCAGAAAGATACTAACTGCCAGCAGTGGTCAGGCATGGCTGGAATCCCAGTGACTTTGGAGGCTGGGACAGGAGCATCACAACTCTGTGGCTAGCCTTGTAATCTAGGGATATGTGGCCTCATATTGAAGATTTTAAAAGGTCTGGGGATATAGCTCAGTGGTAGAGCACTTGCCTAGCTTGCACAAGGTCCTGCTTTCAATCGCTAGTACTGGAAAAAAAAAAAACAACCCACACATGTACTGAAGCACACCACAGTGGTTCTAGTAAACACATATAAGTGAAAGGAAAGATAGAATGATGTCTTAGATGAACCGTCCTCAGGGAACCCAATTAAAAACTACAACAAAACCTAAAGCTACAAACGGATACTTATAAGGGGGCTGTATACATGTGCAAATGCACAGAAACATATGTGGCAGAGCGCACCCCAAGCTGCTTGAGGGGAAGCAGGGAGCCTGGGAGAAGGGCTTCCATCCTTCTTGCTCATGGCTTCGACTTTGCTTTGGATTTCTTTCTTCTTTCCTTCCTTCCTTCCTTCCTTCCTTCCTTCCTTTCTTTCTTCTTAAATTCTCTTTCCACATCTTCTTACTGTGCACAACACTTGTACATAATGATGAGCATTTTGTTGCCTATACACACGTGCACGCAATATTGCAATATATTTTGGCTGAGATCACTCCCTAACCTCTCCCCCTCACTCCCCTCCTCCCACACCTTTGTCCCTTTTTTCTGTTGGTCTCCCTTTGATTTTCTGCTTTTGGTTTTTTAAACAAGGCAAATACATTCACATATGATTGTGGAATTAATTAAAATAAAAAAACAGAACAAAAGGTTTGGAATTTAAATCCTTCTCAGCCTGTGGACACTCCCCACTCTGACTTAACTGGAATCTCACTCCCTGTTTCCTCCTTTACAACCTGTTTCTTGAAGCCTGGTTTGGGTAAAAGCCAAGCCTTCAGCAAGGTGCCAGGAGGCAGCCAGCACTCAGGAGACCAAACCTCACACAGCAGCTGAGGCAGGGAAGCCTCTGGGCCCTTGGACCCAACCATGGTTCCTTTCCTGCTGTGTGAGAGCCCCAGACCTGCAGCCCACCTGCCCCTTTCCCTTCCTGTCCCCTCTACACCTGAGCTGGAGCCAATAAGGACAGCACACATATTCACGCTAACAGACTGTCACTGTTGCTTTTTAAATGAAAGCTTCAAAACCCTTTCTGGGGACTCACCCAACTCATCGTTCTATCCAGAAGTGTTGTGCGTTGCTGGCCGGATGTCCAGCTTCTTTTATTTAGCTTTGAGTTTTATTTTTTTCTTAACTCCACCTACCCAAGCCTTCCAATAGGGGAAAACATAGGTCAAAGTTCACATAAAAATTTTAATCCTCCAACAAGTACAGGGCACAGGTCCAGAGTCAATTAGATATGGAAATCAGCAGGAGGGGTGAGAGATCAGCGCTCAATGTGCATTCAGGAGAATTTGGTGGCATCTGTGGTCAGGGAACATTCCAAAATGCCCAAGTTTCAGATAGAGAGGAGAGAAAGTGAAACAAGCAAATACTGATACTGAAAACAAACCCCCAAAAAACAACCATACACATATTGGTGGGTGTAGGCGAGGGTTTCAAGGAGGGAGGAGGGCCTCTGAGCACACAGACACACCCCACAATGAGGATATAAACATCTCCACGACAGGCAAATATATCCACCAACTTTGAAACCAACCACACCACCTGGAACAAGCCACCACAGACACATCCCCACACTGGGAAACTCCGAGAACTTGCATGGGCAGAAGTGTGAAAAGAAAAGGGCTTCCCCTCACCCAGGATCAGAAGCACATTCTAGCCCAGCAGGAAACCTAATCCCTAACTAGCTGGTGTGAAGAGGCTGCTTCTTTGAGGCACCAGTGTGCTACCTCACCCAAGCCCCAAATAAGTTGTTTCTTCCGACACCCACTTAGAGACCTCACATCCTGAACAGTCCAGACAGCAAGGGGTGGGAGGGACTGGGGGCAGCTCAGCATCCTCACTGTGGGGCTTGGGGAGGAAGCAAGGACCAGCTCTTCCTTCCCTTGCTTCTCCCTCTACCCTGCACACTTCAGGTAGTTCCTGCGCCCAACTCCCCTGCCATCTCTTCAGCTGGCAGTGCCCACCAAGTCCTCCTCTCAGGAGATGGGGCTGTGATATTGTTAAAAGTGGCTGGCACCCAGAGATGGGGTATCTGGGCCTTGGGGGCTGGGCCAACACTGTGTCCACACTCAGCCTGCATTCTGGGCTTCTGGTTGGTGAGCTTCTTCCTTGCCTGCCTCCCTGTGAGGAGAGTTTGGTCTCTCCAAGCCCCAGAGAACACCCCTGTCCCTCTTCTTCCTTCCACAAGCCTTTCCTCCCAGTTCAAGGTGATTCTCGTCTCACCCTGTGATCCCTGAAGTGTCTAACCGTGACTTTCTGTTAGAGAAGTTCTAAGCAGGGCTGAATCCAGCTCTTTCATGGTAATTAGAAAAAGAAGAGGCCAGGTTCATGTAATTATTGGAAATGGAACAGTTCCTGGAAAGAATGTTTTATAATTTGGAAAAAGGAAGTTGTGGGTATTGTATTGCCCTGTCCCCAGGAAAACTCCTGCCCTGTGTCCTCATGGAGGCAGAGGCTCAACCTCAGAGCTCAGCTCCTTTCTGCTCACAGTGCCCTGGCCATGACCTTGGGCAACTCAGGATGGTAGGGAAACTCCCTCCTGCTGTCTCAGTCTTGCTGGGGCTTGATGGACAGGCTGACTCAGGCTGGGGTGCAGGAGGAGGTGGACAGAGGCCTGGCTCTGCTCCAGTCCAAGTCAGGCCCCGAGATGGATCTTGGAGATGCAGGGAGGGAGGCCAAGCCCCCAGGAGATTTTCTCCTGGAGGCTGGAGGGAGCTCAGACAGGCACAGGGAATTGTGGCCCATCCTGTTCCTTGCATGATGGGCTCTGTAACCTGGGTCCCAAAGAGGGCCAGTTGAGCCAGAGGGCAGTGAGGCACCCGGTGGGAAGGAGTCTGGATGGGAATGGGAAGAGGGGGAGTGGGCATGGGGAGGGGGTTAGGCCAGGGAGACCCAGGAGTGCTGAAGAGCAGAGGCCAGAGGGAGCAGTAGGTGAGTGGAGGTCGAGGCCCTGGGTGGACCTGGGGCAGAGCCCAGGGAGGGGAGGGAGGGAGGAAGTGTTGATGAGGAAGGGCATGTGGTCTGGGGACTGGGTATGGAGCAGCAGGGACAGGAGGTGGGGAAGCAGGCAGGAGGCTATGGAGGTCAGAGAAGCAAGAAGGGAACTGCCCTGATTAAGTTAGTAGACAGGAGGTGGAGGAGGAAAGGAATCAGGAGAGATTCCTGGGGTCTGCAGCAGTGTGGACAATGGGGCTGAGGGAAGAAATGTGGGGCAGTGGGAGGACTTTGGATGACCCCTCTTTTGGTATTGGGGAGCCTAGAATAAGAGTTGGGGAGAGAGATCTCATCCATGAGATCAGACCTGAAGAGGGAAGAGGAATAGAAAAAGAATTGATTCGTGATGCTGAGGTGCCCTGGGTGGAGTGCTGAGAGTGAGGACAGAGGCGGGGAACAAGGAGCAGAGGGAGGTCCTGGGGTGACTCATGAGGGCTACAGGCAGGGGAGGGTCCAGCTCAGCCTCTGCACACAAGTGACCTGAGCACATCACTCCACCCCTCAGAGCCCAAACCTCTGCACCTCCACAAGGAGAGACTTCAACCATCTTCCTCCTGTTGTGTTCATATAATTGCACCCTCAGCTGAGATTTATTTAGGCAAAGGACACAAAGCAAGATGGGCAAGAGGGAAAGTCCCATGGGGAGAGGTCCTGAGGAAGCCAGTCGCGAGCTTCCACGAGCCTCTCCAGAGGATTCACATGGGATCACTCAACTTCCTCATCGATGTGTTGTGACAACACGTTGTTGGCTGTCTACCCAAGAAGATCCCAAGAGTAACAGTCTATGGTTTGGGTCCATGGAGAGTCACCTAGTTCCTCTCTGCCTGGCCTGTACTGGAGTTCTGAACT